CGAGAGCAAGTGCAGTGGGTCACACGCTGACCTCCAGGGGTGAACTGGTCAAACCACGCGTCCTGGAGGTCAGCTCCACTCACCAAGTTCGTAGAGAACGAGGGGAGGTGGAGTCCCGACAGCAAGCCCGACGGGGCCGCAGGACACGGTAGAACCGTGGAAGAGTGCGCAAGGACTGGGACCCCAGAGGGGTCAGCCAGGGAGACTGTGACAGGCCGACTGAGCGGCGTGAGTGTGGTGCTGTCGCGAAAGAAGGAGCGCGAAGCACCAGAGTCAGTAGGTGCAGTACCAGAGAGAGCAGACTCACCAGCACCTGGAGCAGCAGACTCACTAGTACCTGGAGCAGCAGACGCACTAGCACCTAGAGCATCAGCCTCAATGCCCGGGTCGGGCGGAACACACAGGTAACAGTCACCCTCAGCACTATCAGTCATAGCATACATGGCAGCAAGGATAGCATCGAAATTAAGATCAAAGATAGCAACATTCTGCCTAAGCAGATCACCCCAGCGAGGGAGCTCAACAACGTCAGGAAACTGGGCGCGCCAGGCGTCAGCCAGGCGACCGAAGCAGCGCTGCGCAGTGTGTGGCAGCCCACACGTCTCCCCACGGCGCCCGCCGGTGCGAAGAACGTAAGTGCAGGAACCAACACCCCCAGACCTCCCACGCCCAGCGTACCAGTCACGAAGTTGCTGGGCCGACGGGGTCTCACGGGAACGCGGCTGCTGCTGGCGATGGCTACCACCAGAGCCTTCACGCTGCGCGGCTCCACCTCGACCAGCACCACCGCCGCCGCCACCTCCACCACCGCTGTCGTTGCCTCCACCGCCGCTGCCGCTGCCTCCACCACCTCCACTGCCGCCACCGAAGCCCCCACTCCCACCACCACCCCCACCTCCACCGCCACCCCCTCCACCTCCTCCACCGCCTCCACCGCCGCCCCCACCGTCCCCTCCACCACCCTTGCCCCCCTTGCCCTTGCTGGTGCGGCGCCTCCCACTAGGAGCAGACGCAGCCCTGACCTCCGCTGTGCCAACAAGGTTGACAGCAACAGCAGAAGCAACAGAGGGGAGAAGGGGGACAGGGGAACACCCCTTAAAGAAAGGGGCGCGAGGGTCCCCGCGAGAAGCACCTACAGCTAAGATACTCTTCTCAGCTGCAGTGAGGCACTCCTCTAGCAGGTCGACGGTGAGCTCGGTGGGGCAAAGGGAGAGAAAGTGGTCCTTGAGTGAAGCAAGGGAGTCAGGGAGGCGGGTGACTAGGTAGTAAAGGGTGGTGTACATGGGGGGGGGGGGGGGGGTTCTTGGCACAGAACTCAGTGGGAAGCGCAGCTCGGTAGCGGGCGTCATTAGTGCGGAGGTGAGTAATGAGGTCAGCGACTATGGCAAAAGCGGCAAGGTCAGGGAACAGGTACGGCAGCATGAGGCGACTGAGGGCAGCAGTGGCAGGGGAGGAGTAGCGCGCTACGACAGCGTCATACAAAGACTTAGCAGTCTTGTACTGGCCAAAGTGCGCCCGCTCAGCAGACGGCAGGTGACTACGAACAGCAAGGCGAGCAACAGCATCATGAGTGGTCCACTGCGAGCGAACCGTACTGTCAGCAGGTGCAGTAGAGACACCGGACGTGTGATCGAAAAGGGATACCCCATCCCTAGAGTCACACTGAAGAAAGAGCTGCAGGTCGTCAACTCACACGTCAAAGTCATCTGCACGCCCCTCAGCATCAAAGGTAAGAACAGTAAGGCTAGCCATAGCGGCAGTAGTAGCAGCAGGAGCAGCAGTAGTAGCAGCAGTGGCAGCAGAAGCAGCAGTAGCAGCAAGAGCAGCGCAGGCAGGGCAGTGCGGCTCAGTAGGGCGGCGCGGCTCGGTGGGGCGGCGCGGCTCGGTAGGGCGGCGCGGCTCGGCAGCGCGGCGCGGCTCGGCTGGGCAGCGCGGCTCGGCTAGGCGGCGCGGCTCGGCTGGGCGGCACGGCTCGGCTTGGCGGCGCGGCTCAGCTCCTGGCGGCGCTGCGCGGGTGCTTACCAGGTGCGGGTGTAGGGCAGGGCCGCAGCTGGCGGTTTAGGTCAGGGCCGCGCATGGGAGGCAGCAGGGCAGGTTTGCGATAAGGCGGCTGCAGGGCAGGGCCGCGAAGGGCGGCGAAGGCAGGGCCGCGACTGGGGCGGCAGCAGGGCAGGGTCGCGATAGGGCGGCAAAGGCAGGGCCGCGACGAGCGGCGACGGGCCAGCCACGGGCGGCGACGGGCCGGCGACGGGCGGCAACGGGCCGGGACGGGCCGGCGACGGGCCAGCAACGGGCGGCGAAAGGCAGGGCCGCGACAGGGCGGCTACAGGGCAGGGCCGCAGTGGGCGGCGAAGGCAGGGCCGCGACGAGCGGCGACGGGCCAGCGATGGGCGGCGACGGGCCGGGACGGGCCAGCGACGGGCGGCGAAGGCAGGGCCGCGACGGGCCAGTGAAGGCAGGGCCGCGACGGGCCGTACTAGGGCAGGGCGCACGACGGCGCAGGTGAGGCAGGCGCGAGGCGCGCTTCGGGCAGGGCAGGGAAAAAAAAATCGTGGTGGGCCCTAAAAAAAACGTTCCCACTAGGGAACCTGCGCAGAATACCATGTCAGAATAGTGAAGGAATGAATGACTGAACTAGCAAGCATGTGGGTACAAGTAGGAAACCTAAAAGTGTTGTACCCTATATGAACTATCCCACTACAGCCTAAACAGACTATAGCATATGAGTTTGACAAAGGCGACTTGTGGCTCATGGTGGATGGCGGTCCACTCACCATCAAGAACGTCTTGGTGGTTCCCGGGCTTGGTGCCAACCTCCTCTCCGTTTCCCAATTCACACGGAAGGGGATGTGTGTGAATATTGAAGGGACCATGATGGCGTTGAGCACGGCGGACGGAGTACACATCGGCACGGCAAGCCAAGCGGGTGGACTCTTCGTGCTCGACGCTTTCCCTAGCGTGGCATCGGCTCAAGCGGCTACCTCGACAACCACTCTCTCAACGTGGCATAATCGGCTTGGCCACCTCCACCTCGCCGCTATTCAAGCTATGGCAACGAAGGGGATTGTCGACGGCTTGGAGTTTGTGCACTCGAGTGGAGACGACGACAAGTGTGTCGGTTGCCTTGAAGGAAAATGGCACGGAAGCCTTTTCCAACCAAGTACGAAGCCGAATGCCTCCGCAACCTCTCAAGCTCGTTCATACGGACTTGTGCGGACCCATCACCTCCTGCGTCGAAGGGCGGCGCGCGCTAACGTCCCTCACGCTCGTCGACGACAGCGACCGGAATGTTGTTTGGATTCGACTTCTCAAGCACAAGGACGCCACGTCAACCGCAATCAAGCAATGGGTGGCGGATGAGGAGAAGGAAAGCGGCTTCAAGGTCAAGCGCTTTCGCTCGGATGGAGGTGGCGAATATACCGCTCGGAGCTCGGCGATTGGTTGAAAGGGTGTGGGACTGCGCATGAGTTCTCGACGCCATATATCCCTCAACAAAATGTGAGTCGCCGAACGCTTGAACCGTACGCTCATTGGAGTCGGCACGGAGTCTCCTCTCCCATGCTCACATGGAGAAGCATTGGTGGAGGTGAGGCGTATACGTTGGCAACTTGGATTCGCAACCGGTGCGTGACCAAGGCGTTGCCCAACAAGACGCCTCTTGAGGCTTGGAGCGGTACGAAGCCGGACGTCACCGACCTTCGCACGTTTGGGTGTACGTGCTACTATCATGTACCCGACGTCACACGGACCAAGCTTGAGGCTAAGGCGCGGGTGGCGATGTACTTGGGACCAAGCGCGGATCACAAGGCGTGACGTGTGGTGGGATTTGGAGCACGGAAGCTCGTGGTGTCGCGCAACGTGGTGTTCTATGAAGACACCTTCCCGTCCAAGTCCATGAACGTGCCCTCGGTCATCATCGTCCCTCCTCCCTTGGATGTCACGGATGAGGCGGATGAAGCTCCTACGGGTTCTCCTCCTAGTACGAATGAGGGGGAGAATGGTGTCAGTAGGTCTACACTGTGGATGCCCGATTGATCCTAGGGGGTTACAAGCGCGTTCGCCCTGGGGGGTTATGGGCGCACTGACCCGCTACTTAACAAGCCCTTCTATCCCAATGGTCTAGTGACTGGGATTCTGATATGGTATCAGAGCGGTCTCGGTTTCGAATCCCAGTGTGTGCACTTTCGGGCATCCCAGTGCGGGGGGGTGTCAGAGGTCCACATGGTGATCCCCGATTGATCCTAGGGAAGGGTTACAGGCTCGTTGTCCTGGGGGGTTATGGCGCACTGACCCGCTATTTAACAAGCCCTTCTATCCCAATGGTCTAGTGACTGGGATTCTGACATGGTGTCAGAGTGGTCTCGGGTTCGAATCCCGGTGTATGCACATGTAGGCCGTTGCCACTGTGTTCAGTCCTGGGCCTCCCAGTGTGGGGGGGTGTCAGTAGGTCTACACTGTGGATGCCCGATTGATCCTAGGGGGTTACAGGCGTGTTCGCCTAGGGGGTTATGGGCGCACTGACCCGCTACTTAACAAGCCCTTCTATCCCAATGGTCTAGTGACTGGGATTCTGATAAATGGATCGGGTGCGGTTGGAGTGAGTGGGGATGAAGGAAATGCCAAGGAAAGTGACCCTTCGTCTCCCTACTCCTACTATCACTCCCACCCTTTCATCCACTCGCACTCGGAGGAACCCTCATCCCAACTCCAAGTATGATGGTTATTCTCTTGTGGCGGGGGACGATGAGGGAGGGGGGAGATGCTATGTGTCTTGAGGCGTACACCGGCACCCCGTCCACCCTACCAAGGCGCCATGAGCTCGGCGGAAGCGGCGGAATGGGAACGTGCGCTTCAAGAGGAGTACGATTCGCTCATGGTGAACGACGTCTACGAGCTTGTCCCCATGCCTCCGGGCGCCTACCTCGTTGGCTCTCGTTGGGTCTTCAAGAAGAATCTCGGCCCCAATGGAGAAGTGGAGCGGTACAAGACGCGGTTGGTGGCTCAAGGGTACACTCAAAAGGAGGGTCTTCACTACAACGAGACGTTCGCTCCCGTCGCCAAGTCCGCTACGTTGCGCACCCTCTTGGCGTTGGCGGGAGCACTTGACTTGGAGGTGGAACAACTCGATGTGAAAACGGCGTTTTCTCTATGGTCATCTCAAGGAGGAGGTGTACGTGAAGCAACCTCCCGGGTTCGACGACGACTCCGACCGCGTGTGCAAGCTCAAGCGTCCACGATCTAACGGCCTCAAAGCAAAGCCCTCGTGCGTGGTACACGAGGATGGACGAACACTTGCTTTCATGGGGTTCGTGCGGAGCAGCGAGTGTGACCACGCGCTCTACGTGCTCTAACAAGGATGAGAAGAAGCTCGTTCTTCTCCTCTACGTCGAAGACCTTCTCCTCGGTCGGATTCCAAGACCCTTGTAAGCGGACATGAAGACGAAGCTTGCCGCCGAATTTTCCATGCGTGACCTCGGTGCCGTCTCCCACTACCTAGGATGCAAATCGATCATGATCGAGGGAACAAGACCCTCGCCCTATACCAACACAAGTACTTGGAGAGTGTTGTGGATCGTTTCGGCATGATCGAGAGCAAACCTACACCGACACCTATAGAAGCGGGGTTTCATCCCTTGGCCAGGTGAGCGACTGAGAACACCCATGGATCCCGAGAGTGCCAAGACCTTTCACTCGGCGTTGGGTCGTGCATGTATGCCGTGGTGAGGCAACTCGGCACCCGACCTCTCCTTTCCCGTTGGAGTGCTTGGACGTGTCGTCTCCAACCCCATAGTCAAGCATGTGCGAAGCATCACGTCGCCTTCTTCGCTACATCAAGGGCACCACTCGAATGGGTTGCACTGCGAGAAGGGACCCGTGGTGCTACAAGGCTACACACCGATGCGATTGGGCGGGAGATCCTTCAACCCGCCAAAGCACTTCGGACTATATCTTCACCCTCGTGGAGGTGCAAATAAGTTGGCAAAGCAAGTGCCAAAACTTGATTGCACTTAGCTCCACTGAAGCGGAATACATGTCGCTCACTTGTGGTGGTACGGAAGCGGTTTGGCTAAGGCGCCTTCTTGCCGAGCTTGGGCACCAACAAGAAGGCCCCACTCCCATCTACGTGGACAACCAAGCCGCCATTGGCCTATCCAAGAACTCGGCGTCCTCCACAGAAGGACCAAGCACATTCAAATCCGCCATCACTTCATTCGCAAGCTCGTTGAAGACACGAAGTTGAGCTTCGTTACATCGAGACCAACTTGCAACCCGCGGACTTCTTCACCAAGCCATTGCCTAGAGATGCTCTTCATGCATGTTGTGCTAGGGTAGGCTTGCATGCTTAGGT